ACGGGTGTTGCAAATGTCGATGGGCGGCGGTTATGACTTAACATCAGGTCAGCCACCAACTCACTTGCCACCTTCTCACGAAAGAAATACTTAACGTTGTTTAAATTAGAAAGTTTAGGTGCTTTAGTTTTTTAAGCATAGCTCATGTACTTTAGACTTTAAAAGTTTCACAACTAGCTTTTCGCAATTATTAATTTGGAGGAACGTGGATGGGTGAGGAACCTTACAGGTTAAAAGTTGTATGAGCGTGTTGTTTTATTACACTAGAGGGCTAAGTCTGATTAGCGTTCAATTACCTGTCCCTGCACTAATGAGTTTAAAAGTATTTAGTAATTTTCACAATGTGTCTAAAAAACTTACGCACTATGCTACCATGAAAGCTTAAAGACTGAAGTTTGAATGTTACTTAAACGCATATAGTTTTTGTTAAATATATTCGAATGGTCGGTGAAAACCATCGCTTTCTCATATATGATTATAAGCTTAGGCGGTTATAGGTTCGTCACATTTTGGTCTTAATAGCTAGCATTGTTTTGTTTGCCCTAGAAGACAAATAGCTGGCACTTGTATGATTTGGTTAAATGAGGTGCAGCTTGTGTTTAGTATATAGGCGTTGACCACTAATACCTTAATATTTTAAAATTAATGATAGCTGACGGTTAAGCTCCATCTAATTATGATACTTGTATGTTAAAGCTTGTATGTCTTATTTTCATTTTTAGTGGAGGACATACGGGCACAATCTAAGACAATTTTAAAAAGTGCCGCTTGAGTTTACGTCACCACACCAATATGAGTAGGTCTATTATTATTAGTCTGCAATATTTGAAATTACTGTAAATAATGTTCAATGTACATAAAATTTCTTTTCATTCAAATGTTAATTGGAAACAATTTCGAAAATAATTAGGTATTCAAAACGCCATTACAACCCGCATATTAAAGTGCTTGTAATGTGTTTTGCGTGCACTTGTTTCCATCTTTCTCTTTCTTAAACATTGTATAATTCATTGCAGAATAACATTATTCCCTTAATGTGCTAGTTATACGCAGTATATGTGTAACTGGAAAATAAATGGCGTTCATATGTAACTACAACGTTTTTATTGTCACAACAGGCTGTCAGTCAAACATCGTCTTTATTTTTTTTTAAAACAAGTTCTGTTTCTGGCGTGTGTTAGTGTAACGTAATAATTGTGTTACTATATTTACGAGTGTTGTAAACAGAATATTTCGTAAAGAAACAACAAAAGTAAATTGAGCGGATCGATGGATTTTTTTATTATGCATCGTAGTCACGATATGATGAAAGTTATACAATACAATATGACATACATTATTGTAAGCAAGTTCTTTGAATTTTTTAATTTAAAGTATCAGCCTTAACATGTCCCACTGCAGGGAAAAGGTCTCCTCTATACAGAGGGTATCAGGGCATAGCCCACCACGCGGCCCCAATGCGGATTGGCGGACTTCACATATCTTCGAAATATTTTTTGTTATTATTTCGAAAATATGCAGGTTTTTTCACGATGTTTTTCTTCACCGCTGACCACGTGATAATTGAGCACTTAAAATTGACAATTTCATTGGTGCTGGCACCGGGGATCGAACTCAGGTTCCTCGAGTATATTAAATTAAAGGCGAGCGCCCGGACACGGCTCTTTTTTAACTATTTTCATCAAAATAATACTTTTGTCTAGAAAATATTGTCCGTTTCTTTTTTGAAATGTCTCTCTCGTCATCTCTTGTCTAGGCAAGTCGTTAAAACTTATTTAAGTGAGATATTTGCCCAGCTTTTTATTTTAATCTGTAAATATGTCGTTACGTAAAAATGCTGTACTGTTAATAGAAAGGTTATTCAAGTTTGTTTATGTGCTAAGGCTATGACAATACACATTCAAATGCTTATTTCGTCCTCGTATGGAATAAGCATACATATCGTTTAGCACCTATAACATCACGAAATATTTGCATGTTTTTACAAAAAGACTATTTATTCCAGCAAAGTGGCAATGAATGTTTTACATTGGGTAGCAGTAACGAAAACTTGTTATAGTTTCTAACGGGGCTTCAAAAGGTAATCAGCAAATACACTCAATGTTTAAAGGTAGGTTCATGATCTTTTTCAAATGGGTAGGAAGGTTATTTTAGATTACCTACAAGCTATTTCTGCATTCAAATAATGACGCCGATGAGCATAATGGTAGTGATTTAGCTATTTAAGTTCTAATTAACGATTTTAAATGTACTTACTAAATAATTTATAAATTTTATGCAATTAATGTTGAAAACATTGAAAACAAATTATCAGCTGATTGTAAGAAACATTTCTTTTCCCCTTTTCCTTTAGTTTTTTTGGATTGCCAGTTGCGTGAATGTGTTTTCATTTGCCTGTGATAAGTTCGTTTAAAAATCAATTTCACTTAGAAACACTCAGATCCAGAACAGTGTGGGAATCGAACGCATATCCCGCGATGCGGACGTCCTCCATAGCTTAGCCACAACACTAACCGAGTCATCAGTTTTCAAGTAATCACGTTTAGAAACATTATTATTTTAATGGATTTCGTAAGTATTTTTAGGTTTTCAAAGATCTATAAATAATTGAATTGATGCAGAAATTACATTGTTTATTTCATAATCTTATAAATATAAACAAATTTGAAATTGACTATATTCAAAAGTCCTTAATTTAATTTCTTATTATTTTGATAAAGCCTAAATTTGTTCGTATCGCAGTTATTAGTCTTAATTTCTTTAGTTTTTATTTGATTCTAATAACAAAGATTCTTCATAAGTTATTATGCCATATGCGGATAAAATTAAAACGAACCATAAATTATCAGTTTATACAGTGTAATTATTAAAAATTTAGTATTGTGTTATTTTTTAATATTTTTTTATAATTAAAAAGCGAAATGATCCCTTATTGTATTCGCTATATGGCTTTCAACCTTTATGCCATATTATATTATATACACGAGTATTTTGAGTCTGTTTTCTCGTGATTAGGAAATGAAAGGAGAAGGGAAACACAGAAAATAAAACTCTAGTTTCTGATAAACTAACTTTGAGTTTATTTTTACCATTTACACTTGACAATGTATTCGAAATCTGTTGTCGGCTACGGATGGCATGCGTCGTAGGCGCGTAGCTCGCGCGTAGTGGGACTACGCACACGGCATGCTGGCAACGGGAATCTACGCCATACTGAATCACTACCAAAATATACCTCCATTGAAATTGACACAATTGCTTTTGGTTTACATAAATAAACATGTGCACATGGAAAAGAAACTATACGTACAGACAAATCAACACGAATATTACAATAAAATGACGACAATGATTACATAGAATTTTGATACAGATTATAATAGTAGGAACGGTATATTTCACTAGTAAAGAATTTTTAAAATAATTTTAGTATTACAATACTCAGTATTAGGAACTATGATAGACACGAGTGCTACCTTTAAGATATAAACTTATCATCGTAAACAACATTATCTAAAGGATTTAGGAAGTGCACGCTAAATATCTTTCGAGAATAACGAAATAATAATGACAATAATCATAATAGTAATACAAAAATACAGAAATAGTATTCACTTACAGGAAAATAGGAAACAAAGCAGAAAACTTAGCTTAAAAAGTAAATAAACAACATGGCCGTGGCGGCACCGCTAGTAGCAGATACAACAGACTAATCCGAATTAATCTTAAATATTAAAATTTGTATTCGGAAAGTATAGTGAAACTCTAGATGCGATAATATTGAAATATACATAGGAACCATGATTCATTCCGCGGCCTCTCGTCCGCGGAGACACAACATCGTACTACCGACATGTCGAACTACGCTAAATCAAACTTACGCCACTCTCCCGTTCGAAGGAAATCAACCGATCAAAAGAAAAACAGGGCTTAGAAACACCCAGCCGTCCGGAGGCAACGCCACGCGGTGGGGCTGGCGAACTCAACGTCGCACCAACAAACTTCAATAGCTACTTATGAGACTCAATAAATATTAAACGCTAAACTAAATAATCATGTTGTAAGACGCGCGCCGTCGCGTTGGCGCTACTTGCGTGCGGTGCGTGCTTTAACGTCTATATGCATGCCCTTTCACTATCTCCATGTCTTTTTAGTATTTGATAATAGTTGTGAGTAACAGAACAGAACAGACATTGCTGTGTACTGTAGTATGATGAAACAGACTATAAGAATATATGTAACAGGACAGGATAGACGTTGCTTTGAAGTGTAATATGATGAAAGAGAAGAGAAGAGTGTGTGTACAGGAGAGAACATACGTTGCTGTGCAGTGTAGTATGATGAGACAGAATGTACGTTTTGGTGTATCTTCGAGAAGTCGTATTTGTAGTAATCTGTCCGTGATCAGGTATGGCGTGAGTGGAGAGACGCACCACGCGCAAGCAGCGCATCTTTGCACACAATAGACATAACAATGACCGCCGGCAACCGGTGGAATAAAACATTGCACTTTATAAAGGAACAAACTCAATGTTGTAGTAGGATCCGCTCGTAGATAAAATATTGTATTAGACTCCGCTAGATAAAATGTAAATATGTAAAATACTTTAAATAACGCGTTCTGTGCATTCGAAAATATAAGGGACTCCACGCACACAATGAGGCGAGGGCGGTGCGCGCGCGGCCGCGGACGCACGGGTCGCAAAGGCCGCACAGGCACCTCCGCCACCTCACACTCACTTACGCCACTACTAATAATTATTATAATATCAATAAAAATTCAAGAATCACACTTAGTTCCAAAATAAACTCACTTGTTTGCGAGGTAGGCTGGGCGCTGGCGCGCAGCCCGAGTTTCGAGTTCGTTCGTTTTGGAAAAGTTCGCTACGATAATAATTATAATTAAAGGTTACCAATAAGCCTACGCGGTGTCGTCGTCTCCACGGGCGGCTCTGATGCGGCGGCCAGTGCCGAATTGCTCTCGGCTAGCTCTCATTCCTATGCTGATCGGGTGCCACTCGGCCGAGCGCCTTACGCTGCGCGCTCTTCGGCGGCTCGACACCGTTCGCGCTCTCGAGTCGCTCCCGCGCGACGGGACGACCGCACTACTGCCTAACGTACGTACCTAACTTCGCTTCATGTTTAAAAAATCATATACGTATATCACTATAATTATATATCTTCATACATTTACGATGCGTCAGGAACTTCTTACGAGAACGTATCTATGCCTAAAATTAGAACGATTATATGTATGTATTACATAGCTTTAAACAATAATTAAATCGTAATTATCAATATCGATAATATTATATGCCATAAAGATAGGAACTTGCTTTCCTGGGAGACGATGTTAAAGGATGGCCGCGCCGGCGTGTCCGCGGCCCGCGCGCTGCCGCAACGGTTAACGTACGAGTACATAATAAAACCTGTCTAACGTATGATATGAATGCGGGGCGCGCGCCGCGGCGCCCGCCGCCGCCTCCCAGTGCGCGGCGGCGGCGCGGCCGGGAGCCGCACGGGCTCCCGACTAACCTACACTTACAACGCTACAAGCTTTAATGTATAATAACTAGGAATACTTCAACGAAAAGAAGCGTTAAGAGCTAATAGTGAACTGCTGCGTTGTCGGACAACGGTGGGAGCGGGGCGTCCCCCTGTCTAGTAACTATACATTTCGTCGGAACAGGCTTAGTGGCCGGCGCTCGCCAGTGGCATCTCGCCGGGGGGCGGGAAGCGGGGGCCCGGCGCGCAGAAGTTCACGTTGGGGTCCTTGGGCGCGGTGGAGTCCTGCGCGGCGCGCGCCGCCAGCAGGGTGATCTGGTTGACGACGTCCTCCATCTCGTGGGTGAGGGGCTCCGGCTGGGGGGGAGCGGGGGGCGGAAGGCGGCGCGCGTGCGCCTCCCCCTCGGCGTGCCGGCGGAACTCGGCGGCGGTGCGGAACCGCTCTCCGGCGCAGGTGCGGCACTCGAGCGCCGGCTGCACCACGCGGATGAGGCCACGCGCGCCCTCCCTGCCCGCGTAGCAGGAGCGCGCCTGGTGGGCGTGCAGCGGCGCCGGCGACGGGAACGCCACCTTGCAGTGCTTGCACACGTAGCACAGGTCGAAGTCAAGCTCGCGCGCGCCCGCCGGCGGCTCGCTGGCGGGCGGCGGCAGGCGCAGCGTGGAGGCGCCGGGGTCCGCGGCGATGTGCCGGATCTGCTCCAGGGTGGTGGCCGGCAGCTGGAGCACGCTGGCGCCGCTGCCCGTCTCCACTATGAGGCCCTGCGGCTGCGGCTGAACCGGGTTGGGGTTGCTGCCTGCAACAAATTAACATATATGAAACGTCAGCGTGCAGATAAGAAACATACACAAAGACCGTTGGTATCGCCATCTCGTATATCTTAATGAAACAGCTTCAGATACATTACAGCGAATATCAAATTTAAACGAAACGACCCATATAGATGGGACGGTAAGCGATACCCGTAGAACAACTCTCGAGCGCGTTGTAAAGGGGTTAATCCACTTAGGACGACACTCGGGCCGCAGTAGTGAACTGACCTTTCGTACGTCCTTGTGTATTACCCCATTTTCAGACGTCTTATTAAAACATGCGTTATTAACAAAAATACGAAAATACAAAAGCATCAAGGAACGTTGCAACGAATTAGTGTTGCTCGGTAGCGGGGCTCTAAAAGCGGTTCTAATAAATACCGGGAACATGTCATTCATTCCGATCGTTATGCGAATCGATAAGCCCGATTCTGGAGGACCGATGACGGCAAAAAGTACAACAAGAGTCCCGCCCGATGGGGGGAGCCACCAACTATAAAGGCCTAATTTGGATGGCCCATTGTTCGCGCCGGCTTAGCACCAGATAAACGCTGTTTACCTTACCACGGGGCGATTGTACATGCGTGACGCGTTTCTAACGAGCCCAGCCCGCCGCCGTAATTGATTCGGACTCCGCTTTATGCGGCTTATATTCGCGAATGCATAATACATGGTACGGGACGCGTTGCACGAGTTTTATATCGGCCTAGCGTATTATCTCCGACCCACGGTGCAAGACTGAGCGAATAATGAAGCAACGGTGATCCTGGATGTCAGCACTGCCTAGTTTACCGGACGTGCATTCCGAGTGTGTTTATGGGTTTTGTACTGGACCACGATGTGATTACTCTACAATGATACTATGTATATATAATAACATTTAGAATTCGTTTTATTAGTACTTAATTGAAATAAATTTCCATGTTTGTATATGATATTTGTTTTCTTGAAGATATTATCTAGGCTCCTAACTTCTTCAAGTAGGGTGTAACGAACTTTTAAAGGATGTTTTATCAAGAAGAAACGGACAAAATGAATACTTCGAAGTCCAACTAGAGCCCAAGTGGCAGAATATATGTTTTTCTTTTAAAAACAAATTTATTGTAAATACTACTGTAATAGAGCTAAAGTATGATATCTCTCGCAAACTATCGAATAATAATAAAAAGAATTTATATTTATTTCTCGTTACATGAAAAAACATTCCAAAAGTATAGGTATGGCTATACTTTTGGAATGTTTTGAGTCACTTTAACTATAAAATCAACAAAATCAAGTAGCATATTACGACTCAAAATACGCTTTCTTCACTACAGCTTTTGTTATTTTAAAAAAAAGTTTTATGGAGAGCTGCTAATTGTTATAAAGAGAAGTATCGAGTAGTAAAGAAACAAAGTAAGCGTCGGCGACACGCCTCGACCCTGACGTTGATTCGCAACCCTTTCTGCCAATTAGTTTCAAAATAGCCACACTATTGTGCCGGCAAAGTTGCTGAACGTCGTACCAAATGACTGAGGGCTATTGAGCGAATTTACACCCTGCTGTTGTTATTATAGAGTCGATAATTATAGAATAGTTTGCCAATGAGAACTGGGCATTTCGCGCGGTGGCTAGCTACGAGTCAAAGGGCTTCTTAATCCGGAGTTGTAGGTCGTTACGCGTTATTATAACGCGAACGGAGTCGGCTATTTCTTCGTTCATTTACATCTCATTAAGGAGTCTATTTTTGGACTTGGGGACGCACAATGCGGACTTTCGGCAGCTCTTTAGATCTCGCTTCGTAACTACGCAAGGTTAGTTGGCGACGTGGGTGTCTATTTAAGGCCTTTATTTTTCGAATTCTTTATTTTATGCTGATTTGGAAGCCGTTTTTTCTGGTATAAGGTGGCAGACGAGTATTTGGGTTAAAGTTTTCACGTTCAAAATAAAGTAAAGTGGCGTGGCAAGGCTTGCTCGGTACAGAGGGTATTAGGGTACAGTTCACCACAAGGCCCCACGACATTGGCTTTACATATCTTTTAAATATTTTTTGTTATTTTGAAAATATACAGGTTTCGTTACAATGTTTTCCTTCACTGCTAGACATCGGTATGTGAACTTATAACTCTTTAATTGTAATAGAGTTAGATTTTGTAAAGTAAGTAACAGTACCTATACGTTTCACTGGTGGGCTCTTCTGTACAGAGTGGATTGGTAGGCTTCAAATATCTTCGAAAACATTTTTTTTTTTAACCGAATGATTTTGAAACGATTTTTTTAACCGAATTCAAAAAGATGATTCAAATTTTCTTTTTTATTTGACTCCAAAAAGTGTAAAATTTTGTTAGAGGTATTTTTAGGTTACATAGGTTGGATTTTCAAAATTTGATTATATTGGATTTAGCATTATTTTAAACTTTTTAGTCCTAATAGAGTTTTTTGAAGTCCATTCTTTGTTATTCTTTCACCGCTGATAACCCGAGTTATCGCAGCTCCCTACAAAAATACTTACAATAATTTTAATAATATATTCGTTAACATCATAAGTCTTGTAGCCTATGGGTATATGATATGAAATAACTATACGAAAATATCGATATTTTTTATATCGATTCGTGTCTGAGTGCGATTAGATCTCCGCTGATGAGAAACGCGCACTCTCGTATAAATCCGGCGAGCTCGAACGGGCACGTAACCATGTCGCGGTGCGTTTCAGCAAATGACGTGTATTAGTCGCATCAATTACGCTGACTCCGTATTGGGTAGCCGGTGGCCGGCGATACGCGGCGCACGTCGATCTCCGTGATGGATGGTAATTAAACTAGATCGCCTAAGTGCTGGGAAGTCGACCGCGCAGGCTTCCACTGGCGACAGCTGATGGAACGTTCTGGAAGAGACCCCGTTTAAGCATTCTATGGCGGCGATCTACAGCTATGGAATGACGGAACGTTCTGGAAGCGACCATCTATTCGAGACCGAAGAGATTTTGATTGTCGATCGACAGTTGGTTGAATGTTCTAGAAGGGTTCTTTTGCGGTGACCTGTACGAAATTTTATTTGCTTGTTAGCGCTGTTCAATTCATTTATCAATATAGTTGTTTAACATTACTATGGAGAAAGTCAATTAATTATTTGATATTAGAGCCTCAATTAATACTTCGCAGGTTCGTCACCTGTCACTACTCAACTTAGAGACATGTAGAAAGCATTAGCTGACTCAGTTAATTCCGTAATAAAAAAGTAATTAAGAGTAAATTAATAGTAATAGTGATTTTCAATTTGATGGCGAAATGTTCCTGGCTGCAGTCGAGCAAATATTGAACAGATTTTAGTTTAAGAGTAAAATGTATCTCTGGACGAATGATAACTTTATTATCAAGGTGTTAACCATTAGACCGGTGTGTAAAACTGTTCGGGACAAAGTGAGAAGACAATTGGTGTTTACAAGAATTACATTAAGATAATAAATAAACTATAAAAATTAAGTAACAATAATTATTATAAATTAAGAGAATATGTGGAGAGGTTTTATTTTGATATTACGATAGCTTGATTAGCGAATACACAAGTTTCCACATCTTCTACCTTATGGAGTAGGCAGAGATATTTTTTTATGTGAGAGAGTGGCAAACGAGCTGGCAGTTCACCTGATGTTCGCCCGTATGGTTGCAAATGCGTTGCAAACTTTAAATAAAGTGGGCCCCGGCTACCTCACTCACCAGACGAAAAGCAGAAGTGTAATACTTCTACTTTGGGCCGGCCTTCTGTGAGCTCGTGGTACTTACCAGGATGGACTTGCCCATTCGTGCAACAGTGTTGCGTGGCCCTACCACCGTAAATTCTGCTCTCCACATTAAATTTATTCCTTAGCTTGACTGATGACAAGTTTTTGTCGCAAACCGGGCAATTGTGATTTTAGCCCGGAGGAAATCGGAATCATAAACCGGTCAAGTGCGAGACGGACTCGTGGAGGAAGGGTTCCGTAACATTATGGTAGCCCCACTTAAATATTTTTTTATTCTGTTTTTTAGTATTTTTTTGTTATATCGGCAACAGAAATACATCATCTGTGAAAAATGTCAACTGTCCAACTATAACGGTTCATGAGATACAGCCTGGTGACAGACGGACAGACAGACAGCGGAGTCTTAGTAATAGGGTCCAGTTTTACCCTTTGGGTACGGAACCCTAAAAAGGAGAAAACAGTATTTAAAACCGCTGTCGTCAATGTAACTTGACGTTGATAGTTAATATGTCTTGACGTACTTAGTTATGAAATAGGGCTGCCGTGGAATTTTATGACATTATCATTTACGTAACCCGGTGGACGCCGTAAGACGCCGTGAGCTTGGAAACCCTAGGTGTCAGTTGTCTTGCTGCGTGTTTAAATACTCGAATCGGCTTTGTTTATGCTCACCCACAGCGGTAATGCAATTAAGAGGTGGCGTGTTCGTTACAATATTGCTGATTCTCGTTGCATCGTCCGTTATTTTTATGGGCAGGAAATGTTTAGTGTGACAAGTGTTCGTTGTGCCGTTTCGTTAAGCTGTTATATTATTGGAACAGATGTTTGATAAGAAAATTCTGTATTATCTTTGTTACTTTTCTTTGATGTTTCATAACGGTGTGCATTAAATAGGTGTGGGTTTATGTTTTTGACAATTATTAGTACTAAAAAGTGAAAGTAATATAGTAAGGCTATTTTACATGAGACATTTATATATAGGACATTTATAGGCATAAATGTCCCACTGCTGGTTAAAGGCCTCTTCTGCATGGGGGCAATAGGGCATAGTCCACCGATGTGTTTTTTTATTTCATTATTTCTTTTTAAAAACTTTGCCCTTCCTTTAGGATAACATTATCCTGTGCTTTAAGGACGTTTTACAAACATACATTTAACGTGCACAAACACCCAGATGCGAAACAAGTATCTGTGAATCGAACTCACGACCCCAGACGCAGAAGACAATACCTTAGCAACTGCGCCTCGGAGTCACGGCAGACTTCATATATATTTTTTGTTATTATTTCGATAATATGCAGGTTTCCTCACGATGTTTTCCTTCAGCGGTAAGCAAGTCTGACTTATCAGCACTTAAAATTAACAATTTGACCGGCACCGAGGATCGAACACAGGTTGCTCTAGCTAGAGTATTGAATTAAAAGCGAGCGCCCGGACAATAAGCTGTCACGGTTAGTGCTAACGGAACAACAAAGTTATCGTTATATAAACAGAACAGCACATATAACAGACGATAGATTCGTATCTGGAATCACTTCGAATTAATTCGCCCCGCGCAAACAGGGCGACGTCCAACTGATTATCGTGCGTGGGCGGCGAGTTGCGATGCTCAAGTGTCATCAATCAAGCGGTGGACTCAAATGCCCGATTAGTTTTTCCGACCGGCGTTTTTTTATTTGTCCCCTAACTAACAATCGCCGAAACGAGAATCAGGAGTAACTATGCGGTGACATTTGTACGTGTGTATTGGGATTGTAACACGAAACGTATTTAAAGCAACGTTAAAGTTTAAAAAAAAACAGTAATTGTAAAATAAATATGTATTTACTTCACGCTTGTTAGTAACTTTCCTTGTCGCCCTTCGTCGTGGTTTTAAATTCCACCGATAGCCGATCGAGCATTTCGTATATTATCCGGTTCCCTGCCGAAAGTCGTTTAAGAATAATTTCATCGAATTTTATATCAGTCATATTAACGCGTTAGTGGCTCGGAACGTCCATTATCCCGGCCTCCTTCCAGCTCCCCGAGGAAATCTCACCGCATTCAAATATTTAATTACTTGAGCTCTCGATCATTTATAAATTCGGGCGGGAGTGCTATCATAAAACGCGCTAATGCCCTATAATTAAAATATTCTCAACAGGCCGTGGCGTAATGGCACCTCCGGCGACGGTTTCCTCCGGCGGAGAAAAAAACGCATAAAAAATTACATTCACCCCAGAGGGCTCACCCCTTGTGTCGGGAAAATCGATTAAAAAGAGGAGACGCGGGGCGGTGGGGCGCGGGCGGCGGGCGGCGGGGGCTTTAATATGTACGAAAAAATGCACGACGCCGCGGGAGCGAGGGAGAGATCTAAGGAGTTCGAGTTGCCTTCAATTTTTATAATTACGTTCATACGTGAGCGCGACCGGCCGCCGCGTCGTCTCCCAGCGCTCCCTTATTCACACCGCCCGCTACCCGCCCGCCGCCGTAGCTTTCCAGATTACTTTTTAATTTTTAACTAACTACCCACGCGACGCCGGATTGGATCTCTCGAATTGCGCTAACAGTCGTCGCCTTTGGCCTCACGCTCTCGCAACAACGTTACGACGCGCCTTAAGAATAACTCGTATTATAACTTTCCCGTTTTCCGCCTCGCGATCAATTCCGATCGGCGGACGAGCTCGGAAGTTTCACACTCGCGGCAATCAAGGAGAGATGGAGGCAACGGGAGTGGGATAACCGACCGGAGGACGTTATCTCCGGAGACGGTTTGCAAATGAGCGGGCGAGGCGCGCGGGCACGGCCGCGGCCCGCGCCCACACACGCCGCGCACATCCGTGCGTACATTTTATAAATAGATATCGCTTTTTTATCCGGGCACAAGAATACGTAGGGGGCTACCGCCCGCCGGTGGGGGAGTCCCCTGCGGGGGACGTGTTGGATTTCAGATTGCTACGAACTGCAAAAATGAGGGATGAAAGAAATATAGCTTAAAACGCAGATATTTTCCCGGCGTCTTGAGGCGCGGGGCGGGGCGGGCGGCGGGGGGCCTGTGTGTGGAACAAAGTGGTGCGGCGATATCGAACCGAAATGAAACGGCAAACGAACCGTGCGCGTCCGTTCTAATGCGAATTTATAATTTGGACGTTGGCCCCGGACCGTGCGCTCTTTGAACTCCGCGCGGGGGTGCGTCGAAGGTGAATGAGTATACGGCGGGAGCTGATTTGATTTAGAAATGAAAGGGGAACGCAATGCCGTGCAGTGGCCGCATCCGTTCGGGGTTTCCGATATTATTTTCGTGTGCACTGTACAAGATCGATTTCTATGCCAGTAAAATACGAGCGGTGACGTAGTGGAGAGCGACAAAGCGCGAACGTGAGCCGCGTCGTTTCGGCGCAATGAGCGCGTGTTTAGGCGTATCCTCATTGCGCAGGTTAACGCCGTGTCCGCCGACCTAATTGCTGACGGCCGCCTCTAATCGGGATATGCGCAACGCGATAATTGCGGCGGCGGCGTCGAGCACGCACGACGTAAATGCATCTTGTCGCACTTGCAGAGCCGTCGCCGATTCGAGTAGTCTTGGAGTTAATTGTAACAAAGCGAATGACAGATGTTTAGCTCCCGATTCTTCCATTGTTTCCTAGTCATCACGGTCGGTAATGGCGTAAAAATACTCCAAGACAGTGCGTATGGCGACCTCCAATTCGTCAGCGGCGTGTCCCGCTAATTCACTAATGAGCTACGTAGGTGTACGCGCGGGCGAAATAAACGCCGCACTTACAATTGCCGCAGATTAGCATTAAGCGGATAATAAGTAGACGCGGCCGGGCGGCCGGAGCAAATAACGTGCGCCAGTAAATTAGGTGTCAATGAATTTACTGCGGGAACGTGACGCCGGCAACACCGGCCCCAGGCCCGGGGTGGGCCGGAGCCGAGTAAGCACGAAAGTGAAAATTGCGTACGTGAACTGGAAGGAGAAATATTAAAAATTAATCAAGACGCCGCGCGGAGGCGGGGGGAGCACATGTGCCGGCAAAAAAGCGTCTCCCTCCAGTTCGGCACGTGCGGGGCGCCGTTACGGCCCCGTTGCGTAGCCGAGTTAAAACTCTCTCCACTCGGACAAACAGAGGATTTGTCACAATTACGGCACGGGGGCGAGGCGTCCCCACTTGATTAAAACCTAAATCACGTGACGTGTTTACAGTCGAGCCGGAGGTGTTTTCAATTTGGCGACTCTTGGACCGGCCATTGGCGTTCCGGACACGTCCGCAGCGCCTATCCGGGCGCCGGCGGGCGTTTTGAATTTGTCTCGAATTAAATTATTGACGTCCCGATCGATTCGGGACCGCTCCAGTTCGCATCGACGGCTTCCCCGTCCACCCGCTGCGAGCGAACACTCGAACATTCGCCATTTTACAGTCACGTCTTCTAATCACATTCTACCGAGGCACTGCGTACGCTCGATAACTTCCGAGCCGTTAAAAGAGAAGATTAACACCCGAATTAATCGGGAGATTAAACATAATGAAGGGAAATCTCATTACCGTGGGCATAATGGCGGGAAGGAACCAGCGAGCAGAAGGAAAGAGGACCCGGCGCGTGAAAGGGAAGAAAATGCTAAGCGCGAAGAAAATTAAAGACTCTAACGGAATTAAAAAATGTTAGAAAAGAACTGTAATCGACTCTGGCGCGCGATTAGGGGGAAATGCAAACAGGAGTGCGGGCTGCGCGGGGTTTGAGCGGGGGGGCAGAAAAGTTCTCAATTAAAGAGCCGCTACGGAAAGTCTTATTGTAATTAGATTTCCTCTCGTCTCCTTAAATCAGCGCATTCCGACCGCTGACACTCCGTTTGCTTAATTTGTAATCGAGACTTGTTAACTTTCGCGACATGCTCGTTTTATTCTTTCCGCGTCGATGAAGAAATTTTAATGAGGATTTCTTTTGCCAAGATCTTCGTAGGACCCGTTTTGTGTTGGATCAGCAAATTTATATTTGTATACTTGTGAGCGAGGAAAGTATTAGCTAAGGAAATGTATCGATAGCTGTGTAAGGGTGCTTCTCATCCTTCTTACTTCCTTACTAATATTATAAAGGCGAAAGTTTGTATGTATGGATGGATGTTTGTTACTCTTTCATGCAAATACTACTGAATGGATTTTAATGAAACTTTACAATAATATAGCTTATACATCAGAATAAGATATAGGCTATAATTTGTATACATATTTTATGTATATCTGTCTGAATGTTACGCCTTCAGCCAATTCTACACAGACGTAGTTGCGGATAGCAGCTATGAAATTCAATGTCATAACTTTATAATAAGCCGGTAAAATCCAATAAAAATTGACAATTTTTAAACCAGTTTTGACGATCACAGCTAGACAACTAAAATGAGAAGATAATTCAAGAAGATGAATTAAATGAATTAGATGAATTCAATTAAAGAAGATGAAGTGCAATTAACGGCTTTTGTAATTTCCTAATAGTAAAACTATTTTCGAACCAATAAGAAATTTAAATTTCTATTGTGCTTATCTCTGCACTTAAGATAAAAAAATTAAAATTTGCACTATAAAAATTAAAGATTATCGTTGTAAATTGATATTTGAAATTGTTTGTATGCGGTAAAGGTAACAACCGATGCCGCGGATCCCTTGCACGTTAAAAGTATTAATGGTCGGTGGTAATCAGCCGTTTAGCTTAGTGGTTAATGCGTCTGGGCGCGGATACCGAACACGTGGGTATAATTCCCGCAGTGCAGTGGTGAAAAATCTTTTTCATTTTCATCCTTTATTCCTAGAAATTTTAATCATAAGAAATTGATTTTGTGAAACAGGATCGACTTTAGAGCGATCTACTATAAAATACGGGTCTACGGGTATAGGTTCTCTGTACTAGTGCGAAATAATCAAAATGTCAGTAAACAAACAACTATATTAGTAGTAATAAAACAAACACTAAGTGCACTACATAGCGGTAGGAGTTTGTCTTGAGCAGTCCGTCAGCAGTTAAATTTGCAAAATTATCATTGCTATTACATTGTGTGGATAGTGATTAGTAGTCTGTGTAAAGTCCAGTTTCCAAAGATAAAGCTTTCAATAGAAAATTATTTTGCTATTTTCAATTATAATCAGATGTCACTGTCACTGTCAAATTTGTATTAAAAAAACATTGCGATCAATATAAATTACACCGTTCATCATTTAAAAGTTATGACTCCGCATAAACACTGACGAAACACCAAAAGTGATTTCCTTTTAAATCGCCCGCTTTCCTCCTTTCCCGCCCCCTTGCATTTCCTGCGGCCGGCTCTAATTAATTCCCGGTGTCCGAGCTCGCCTCGGAGCGTAATTAACCATCTCGCTTTGTAATTACCGCTTAAATTCGTCGGAAGCGGTCGGAAATTGTCGGGATTTGTCGGGAGTCGAGTGGCCGGCCAATTAAGCGGCCCGCCCACGCCGCGATTAAGCAATTAAAAGGCGGTCGGTTGGCGCTTGACTCGCCCTGGCTTTTCCTGGCGGGAAAGTTTTAATTCTCGACCATTCGCTTCGAGTTACGCGACGCCTTCCCTTGTTCCCATTTTGTGGAGGCGAGAGGCCGTTCAATTTTTCGACGCTGCCCTCGGAATTAATTTTATTTTAACGCGCTTAATAACATGGACTTTAGTAGATTAGCATTGAAGTGATTTTATTAGTACATTTTGATATCGATCGCCCGTTGAGCGATGCGATGTTTATAAAAGATAATCAGAAGACAAGAACAGTGTATTACGGATAAAAACTATATCCCCTTTTAAGCTGACGTAAAATATCGAACATCATACGTTATCGGAATGTGAGGGCTCTATCCACACATAAAATACAAACGTATGATACGTTTGTATTTATTGTATTAAACCTCATAGTGTAAGAATGACTAAAGCTATCTGACTATTTCATTCTCTAGCATAAATTAGATGTCATAAGCGGTGGGGTAACCTCCACCCCTAACACTGAATATATGATGGTTCGTTACTTACGAGTAAATCTTACATTGTTCTTTTACGAACAGACCATAATAAGATAAAGAAACAAAGATTTAGGATATTCAATTATCTTGGATTTTTTCAATAACTGTCCTTACTGTGTCTACGGCAAGTTATTGGGACGATTCCCGAACTTTACATTAAGACTAAGGCATGTCGCTGAAAAGCATCATTTAGCCACGTCAAAAAATAATGCATGCAAATGAAAAGAAGTATCAGCAGCATACGTAATTAAGTGTCTCATATTCCTTAATGTCTCGTAGAAGTATAACACCTAGCTCATCAATCTACAATGCCTTCATAAGGTAAACAAGTATATCTAAGATTTTTATCAATATTTCACCCAATAAAATAAATTCGGAACAACTGGCGACTCTGTCGCCTACGTGTGAGTGATTAGGTTAGATATAAATAAATAATAATAATAAATAAATAATTCGGAACATTTTTTACACAACGTTATCTAGACCCAAACAAAGCAAAGCTATGGATACTAGATAACTGATAAACCAATCTAATTTTAAATAAATGCATATTTATAAATAAATACCTATTATAGATATATAAGCACCGAATAACTAGAAAAACATTATGTTCATGACACACTATTTTTCCAGTAGCGGGGATTCAACCCACCCATGCCCTCTGGCGCAAGACAGAGGCGCTATCAACTACGCCTTTTTATATTACTCATTATTCGTACACACTAAAATGGGATTCGAATCTTCCATCTCAGATCAGATGCCGAACTTCCAATTTGCCTTTCAATCTATCGAAGTGTTTAATAAATATATAAGGATAGGATGGAATATAATAGGATATGTTTATACTACGGAATACATTTGCTTTATGTCTCTGAAAGTCTCGGAAACAAACGAGCCCGATTAAGTCTTTACGCTAACTGACAGCATTAACACCCTGACCCGGAACCCCAGTTCCCTTCCATAATAATTAAACACCAAACCTCAGCGGATAATCACAAAGCACCGGGAGGGTTGAGTCATTAATTAAAAGAAACCTCTGGAATCTTCTTACAAACAAGATATTATCCCTTCAACCCTTCCGACCTTATTAAAGTCAACGTCGACGTGCGCATTAATTCAATAAAGCGGTGTAAACTGCGCAAACAGACGGCGGAGAAAGGGTTAATTTGCATGTCGGCGTTCGCAGGGTTAACCGCCGCTTCGTTAGGGCGCGACAATTAACGGCCCTCGGGGAGGGTTAGAGGGAAACTCCTGGGAAAGTTGCGGTAGGTTAGTGCTCGGTAATTAAGATGTTGAAGCCTTTTCGCACGATCCAAATTTCCCTCTTTGTTTTTTGACGCTCTGTGCAAAATTTGCCACATTCGTATAAGCTTTTTATGTTCCGTTTCAAAGAGATCTACGTCATTAGAATCGCTTTTGAAATTGAATACTCATTGTTTACCATTGTATCTTTTGATAAAATCCCTCTGAATAATAATTTCTTATCGTTAAACGGTCGCAATTGTTAATTTATCTATGGCGGGCAGGCAAACTATTTTGATGCCGTGGTGTGGCCACGCAACAATTTTCACTGTTGCAAGAATGGTCTGGTCCGTCCGGGGAAGTACCACGACCTCAGAGAAGACCGGTGTCAAGTGGAAGTGTTATCCTCGCGCTGGTGAGTGACATAACCGGGGCCCACGTTATTCAAAGGTGGCAACGCATTTGTGACCCTACATTGGATTTTGCAAATGTCCATGGGCGCTCGCCAACTTCTAAGATTATAAAAATACTTTGTCTATTCGCTTCTTTTTCTTTCACTCTTTTCAGAAATACCTATTTTCATTTAAGTAAATTTTACGCAATAGATAAGTATTAATTTAGAAATACAGATGCTTAATTCTGCCATACAAATTAATCGTATCAGCAAATTTATATTCAGCCCGAAAGGTAGGAGTCGTGGCAACGAAATCTATAATTATAGGAATTTGTTAAAGTGAAATAGTCAAACGAACCAAAAAAAAAACTTGTTAGAAAGATAAATGAAGAAATGCGGCCGAAACACGCGCGGGGGCGTATCTCATACATTCATAATTCACTAATTTGTTGTTGGGAACGGGTGAAATTACAGTGTTCAATTATATTACTACTAATGGGACGTTTTTGAAATCCTACTCACATTTTTAACGTTTATTTAAACGAAAATGTTTTTTTTCTCTTTAATAATGTTTGCTTATAATATCTATATTTCGATATTGTTTTTTAAATGGATTACATTTGCCCTTACAACTTGTTTACAGTTTTTTTTAACCCAGCTGCGATCATATATTAATTTTTTTTGTTAAAAAAGGTGTGGATATTATTTCAATCAGGTGCTAGTGCTGATTAATGTTAGCATAAACAATAATGAAACGGGGGCACATGACTTAAGTAACTTAGAAGTTATAAAAAACGTGTCCGTTTTTTGTAATCGTTTCATGGATCGTTTCGCGTTCCTCGGTCCGTGAACGTTTAACATGTCAGATTATACGTTTATGCAATTAATACATGAGTATGCTGAGTACTTGGTTATCTATGTATGTTTTGATGTATAACGAAATCTTAGGATGTTCATCTTTTACAATTGCTTTTGATGTCGTATATG